GCTTTCATGCGCTGGTGCGTGAAATTTTTAACTGTTTTCCAATTTTTGAACTACTTTTGCATAGAATAAAGTGCAAAGCGGTGAAAATCATTAGCAGACAATCGTTCGATGGGCTGAATCGCACAAAACGCATGGTCACACCGGCTAGTCTGGTGCGCGTTGCCATTTATTGAATTCTGAAACAGACTAATGCCTCTTTTTCGTCAGCCTTTCATTTCTTGTTCTGCCTCTTTTCTATCTTTCATTATGAGCTTGAAATATCGGGGGATCAACAAAATCGTGAGGGCTCTCTATAGCCATTCGCTAACAGATAGTTACAGGAATGTAGATAAGTGTGCGCCGAACTGTTTTCTCCGATTCTGTGTTGAAAATGCAACAAATAGTAGTAACAGAATAAAAAGGAGCGGCCATAGAAGCCTAACCAAAACTGGTCGTTCTGAGCAGGGTTGACGAGAAAGTAGAAGCTATGAAGTGATATTTTGCGGCCGTAAGTATTCTGAAGCATACCTTGTGAAGTAGTGAACCGTGCTAACTGGAGAAAATTCAGCATAGCTGAATTCTCTTTTATCATCCAAGCTATTTTCGTTATAACATGATGGTTAGGGAGCTGTACTGATGATTCCCGCCCTGAACTACATCTCCTGCTGTCTATGTTTACAGCTTAAGGATGAAACACAGGCATGCTTCCCTTTACATACACCTCTGTATATGACCTTTCCACATGACATACAGTTTTTGTAAATATGCAACACTACAATCTTCTTGACCTTTAATTCTTTTCCCCCTTTTTTTACGAATTTATTTGCTACTTTATTACTGGTGATCGCTGTCCTCAGACGGCCTATTCATAGTCTCCTTATAGGGCCTTCATTGCCCGTACTGGTTTTTATTACCCTTTACTGAGTTGGCCGTTGTTCCTGTCCGTGAGCTCTTTAGCCTTTATAGGGCTGTTACGGTCCGTACCGCCTTCTGGCTCCATGTGCTTTAAGGCAGGAAGGATAGAATTTAATAGTGAATGGTAGTGGGGAAGATAGTTGACTAGATAATATGGTACAAACCTTTTAACACGTGAAATGGTCATCTATCTGGAAAATGTAGGGTGGTCTAACTTTGTTCCCTAATCTCATGCTAATCCGGAGAATGCCGTTGCAATGATTTCGTTTTGCTCCCTTTGAAAATGTTTGGTTCGAGGGTTCAGTTTTTAACAGCTATGATTTTCGAATTCAGATATAAAATTACGCTTTTTAAGAGATCGAGAACCAACTGAGTATTCTGAGGTTTTAAACGGTTTGCCTATCACTGTT